ACTATAAAGTGGATCCCTCACCATGGGTTCTCAAGTTTTGCTGCTCTTTAGCACTATTTGGAGGAGTTTTGAAAACAGTGATGCCCAATTCAACACCTAAGATTCTAATTTCATTGGACTGGGGTACAGTCTATATGTGGGCATTTAAAAAATATTCCCCAGGTAAATTTTAGTGCAGCCAAGACTAAGAGTCACTGTTGTAAACTCGTAAGTAATTATTTAAATATTTATCTAAACTTGGTTTGTCATTATCTTAAAACCTCACGTAGTACATAAGTGTAAACGTCATCACAAGGTTAAACTATCTTTTCTCTAGGAGTTTATTAAATTAATACCACTATCATCAAATAACCATACTGCATGTTGTGAGAGAAAGAAACAGAGCTGATTAAGATATACAACCTGTTGAAGACACGAAAGCCACAGAGTTGTAGAATTTTAGAGCTACTCCATGGAAAGAAAAATGTCACATGATCATACAGAATTGAAAAATGACACAGGATTTCCCATCAAGCTCCTGTGGTTTGAAAAACCTTCATAATTGAGATGGACTTGAAGCTGTTATTAGGAAGAAAGAATAAGAAGGGAGGGGATGGAGGGCATTCAAGATGGGTTATAAAAAGCTGGAGTTAGATAAGTACAAGATATTTTGGAAATTTAAAAATAATACATGATCAGAATGCAGTTTTTTTGTGACTGACAGAAAAGTGCAGGTTGCAAGGGAGAATTTTACATTCAACTAAATTTGGTCTGAAAACACTGAGTCTGAGAACAAATAAATGGCTATTAAAACATTAGTGGACTAGCACAGTGATGATACCAGTAACCCCAGCTACTCAGGAGGTGGAGATAGGAGGATCTCAAGCTCCAGGGCAGCCTCAGCATCTTACAGAGATCTTGTCTCAAGTTTAAAAAAAGTGCTGGGGATATAGTTCAGTGTCCCAGATACTGGGGTTCAATCCCCAGTATCACACACACAAAACACAGATACTTACTAAATAATTTAGCAAGGACAAATTACTTGATGATTTTGTATTCTATTGTTTTGAGGTAGTTAGAAAACAAGTACTCACTTGGACTAGTCAAGAATAAATATTCCTACTCCTTTATACATTCTACCTTAACATTCTTTTCAAAATGCCAAGGTTTGGGGTTGGGATTGTGGCTCAGCCGTAGAGCGCTCACCTCGAAAAATGCCAAGGTTTATAAACAAATTTTAGAAGGAAGAATGGAGTGATGGTAAGATCATTCATACATACTTTAATAGTTTGAGCTGATGTATTTTAAAACAAGGAAGTTTAATTTTTAACTTTTTAAAGTAAAATGAAAAAAAAAGGTATGGTAATTAATTGTCTATCAGAATGGCTTATTCTTTAAAGTACAATTTGATTTGAATGGAAATTATTTAGTAATGAGAAAACTTAATTTTTTCCCTACTGTTTTTTATTACTCATAAAGTCACTGGCATAGATCTTAACGTAGTCTTAGCATGAATTGTGGTAGTCTGGCATTTATGCTGATGTCAACTCAATTTAGAGTAGGAACTCGTTTACTGACTAAATATTGAAATAAGAAAGCAGTGTTTTGTTGAAAATTACCACACAGCATTTCAAATTACATGTTATCTTATGAAAGCATCTTTTTTCCTAACCTTTATTTTTAAGAAAGTATTACGGAGAATGTCAAAAATACAAAAATAAAACAGTATAATGAAAAATAGTATAATAGAAGCCCAAGGATCCATAACTTCCCTTCACAAACTGTCAACACTAATTGTTTCAACTGTTTTTTTCTTCTGAAATATGTTAAAGCAAACATCAAAGATAGAAGTTTTTCTATATTTCAGTTGGTGTCTGTGATAATTATAAGAATATAAAAGACACATTAAAGAAGGCTGTTTATTTTGAAAAAGTTTCTTTCTTAATAAATGGTTGACGTTAAAACCTTGGGAATCATCCTCAACTTTTCTTTTATATTTCAGAGTCAATGTAACAGCCAACATGGTAAAGATTTTGAACCTCTTCTTGCTATTACTATCAACTAAATAAAAATTACCTTTTGACTGTTCTAAGGCCACAGTCCCCTAACTTGTCTTATCTTTTACCTGTGAAACCCCCAAGTTTGCACAAGTTGCATTTTTTTTTTTTTCTGAAATGCTTTTCCTCAAAAACAAACAAACAAAACCAGAAAACCCCACTGTGGCTATGTGATTCCTTGAGGGTTCTTTGAATTTCACCTTCCAAGAAAGACCTGCCCTGACTATATACTATCTATATAACACACCCACCACCAACAACCCTGCCATTATCCTCTTCTGCTGGCCTTTTCTAACAGCTTTGCTAGAATGTAAGCTCTGGGAGGGCAAATACTTTGTTGATTTTATTCACTGCTATATCATCAGAGTCCAAAATAGTGACAGGCAGACATGAAGGCTGATAAGAAAATTAGTTGATAGCTAACACATGAAGATGGAATTTAAGAACCTTTTCCTAAAGAATCTGAAACAATAAGTACTTAAAATCCATTTGGGAAGTACACCTTTTAGGAGCTTTGCTAGAATTACTTTTCTTTTTTTGTGTGTGTGGGGCGGGGCGGGGAGGGCTTACAGGGGATTGAACTCAGGGGTACTGGACCACTGAGCCACATCCTCAGCCCTATTTTGTACTTTATTTAGAGACAGGGTCTCATTGAGTTGCTTAAAACTTCATTTTTGCTGAGGCTGGCTTTGAACTCATGATCCTCCTGCCTCGGCCTCCCAAACTGCTGGGATTAGAGGTGCATGCCACTACAAAAGGCAATTTACTTTTTAAAATTGAGTCCATCAGCAATTTAAATTAGACTAAATTCTAGTAAAATGTATCTGTCCTATTTAAGCAGTGTAGGATAAGTACCTGAAACACATCTAATTGTATTTAAAAGAACAGCACTACACGGTGTCAAATTTGCATCAAGCATCTAGAATCACCAGCAAACATCATTTAAAACAAAATATACTAAAGGCTCCATCCAGTCTTCTGTTGCAGTCAATGTTAAGTCTAAAAGAAATGTCTCATAATCAAAATTTACTTCAGACTCTCACTCACCTTATATTTTAGAAGTAGGAGAAAGGAAGGTTAAAGCAACTACCTTGTTGCTTAACATGCAAACTTAAGGACTAAATTATAGGAATTTCCCACTTGAAATGCTCAGATTGTACGAGATGATCTTTAAGGTCTCTCTAGACTACAACATTCTATTCTATATATATTTAACCCGCACTGCTTATGCGGGATGAGAAAGCAGCTTGCTGTAGTAAGTTAGACAGCACTGGTTATTTACTAGCTGTGCAAGTTAAGCAAGTTATAAAACTTCGCAGAAGTTGCTTCCTTATACATAAACGGGCGTTAATAACATCTATCTGGCAAAGTGACAGAAAGGATAGCAAAATTCTTGACATACAGTTTTGCATAATATTGGCAGCTATTACCTTCTTTTGCCAATGATATTGCAATGTAGAATCAACCATGCCAATAAAATTAGGGTGAAGGAGACAAGGAAAGTAAAATAATAGAACAGATTTACATTTTAGTGTTAATTTGATATGCATATTAGAAAATTATTTGTTTTCTCCTTACAAGAGAATACTGTTGCTACTCTGTCATTAACATAAACACCAGATTGTTTATAACCCATGTTGTGAAATTTACATCTGTTCATAGATTTAACTGAGTTAGCATAATGTGGGTGATGACTATAGGAAGCTGTCCAAGTTCTCCACAACTGACACTTCCTTGATTGCAGAATACCAAAAGGTAGTGAACTTTTCCCCCTTAAAGTATATTTGAAACATACCACTGGGACCATGGTGTAATATGAATATCCCCCATCACTCCTTGCTTCCCATTTTGAGAATGAGTGAAAACACCCAAACTCCCATGTTTTCCGTGTACTTGGCAGAGTCTGGATATCAACAAGCGATCTCCACTTGCCCCAAGAGCTGCCAAGCACAGGGACAGTCCTTTCAGAGAGGGCTGGAGGGAACTGTGTTGGCAGCTCCCTGGGTAGAGGGGAAGGAAAAGGAAACTCCCTTCTTGGACTCGGCAGGGAGGGTGAGAGACTAAAGGAAGGGGTGGGGGTGGTGCAAGAATGGTCCGTCTGGGTTACCCTGCCGGACTCGCCCGGCCCAGGCAGGGGAAGAAGGTCACACGGAGTAGCGTCGCGGGTGGAGAAAAGCGGGCGGGGCAGTGCCCCCGCCCCGGGGCGAACCCAAGGTGTCCTCCAGCAGCCGGAGGAAGGTCCGGGCCGCGTCGCCACCCAGCCTCGCTTCCCAGGAGCGGCGGTTGAGCAGGAGTGGGGTGTGGGGGGGGAAACGGCCAGCGGGGCCAGGCCGCGCCCCTCACCCAGGCCCGGGGGCTACAGCAGGCCGGCGGGCAGATGGCGAGGCCGGGGTACCCGGGCGCCACCGCCTCCAGTCCGGCAGCGACGGCCCCTCCCAGACTCTCCCCCGTCGCCGCCACCCTTTTCCCCCACCAGCGCGGTACCTGCACAGCACGACTGAGGAAGGTGCCCGCGTCGGCTGCCAGCTTCTTCATGTTGAAGTCCATGATGTTCATTCTGGGCGGCAGCCGGGCAGAGCCGCCGGCGGACCTGGCCGGGAGGCGGAGGCGCCGCGACAGGGCTGGGGCTCAGGGAGAGCGCGGCGGGGGCAGACGTGGTAGGTGGAGGGAGGCGGCGCCAACCCCGCCGCCCCAGCTGTCGTTTCCGTGGAGGGGAGGAGGAGGGGTGAGAGGGTGGGGCCAGGGGGAGAGAATGAGCGCCTCGGAGCAGGCCGCGCGCCCGGCGGCGGCCGCCGAGAAACTGGGCCAATCGAGCCGAGAGAGCTGCCTCTAACGTCGCCGCTGGCCGTAGCGGGGGAGCTGGACTCCGGCGGGCGTCCCGGAGGTGTGGGGCCGGCTCCCCAAACGAGGAAGAGAGCACCGACCGCGGGGCGGAGCCTTTATCATGGTTATCGCGGGAACAGCGCCCTCTGGAGGCTCGTGGCCGCTCAGCCGCGGGGCGCGCCGGGAGCTCCTCCCCTCAGCTTGCCGGGGAGTTTTAGGGGGCGCTCCGCGGGGGTCTCTTTGCTGCTGCACGTTCGCAGTTAACCTCTGAGAACCAAGAGTGCTGAGGACCCAGGTTCCGCTTTTAGTTTTAAGAGAAAATACGGAAGTTAGGGCATAGAATTAAAGTATCTGTGAAGTTGGAACCAACCGGCCCCAGTCATCTCGTAGCACCGGCGCGCCCCGCCTTTCCCTGAAGCCTGGATGGCCACTCAGCGAACGTTCTCAGAATGGGTTGCATTTAGGATCCCCACCGACCCTGTTGTGTATTCATTCAGCACTTTTGAGTATCTGCTGTATGCCAGGCGCTGAACTAGGTGCTGGAGATATGCTCTTACTCTCTTGACAACCTTCAGGGTGTTCACTCTGCTAACTGGAGCTGTTTGCTGCCCCTAGGACTTTGAATCCGTTGAGGCAGCAAGCTTGCAGGACTACAGATCCACATTAGGTGCCTGCTCTGTAAAGCATGGTGCTGGGGACTCTTGTGCTGGGCCATGGACACAAAGAAGTATATCATGGTGAGTGAAAAAGGATAGCCCTTGACAATTGAGCGTGATATTTCAGTAACAAATATAATGTCCAATCTGTTTGAAATCCCGTCCATCCAAGTAACTTTTAAAGCAGCCTTCCGACAAAATCTATGCTTAAATGAAGTTAAAAAAGGTACTAGTGTGGAAGGAGATTCACTGATACTTCGAGAATAAGGAAACACTATTTTCGTGTGTGTGTGTGTGTGTGTGTGTGTGTAGTTGTGTGCATTTGATATAATGGGGCTGGGAAAATGCAGACCCAACAGGCAATGAAATGAGCTTCCAGTTAGGCTTCAGAAACAGCAGTCACAGAAGCAATAGATGCTGTTTAAGATTGAAAGATAAGGGAAGTAAAAACATTAAAAGGGCAAGTAGATAACTTATAAATATTTATCTTTTATTATTCTTTTGGGTGGTGATAGAAACAGTTACCTCTTTTTAATTTACTTTTTAATATTTATTTTTTTTAGTTGTAGTTGTTTGGACACAATACCTTTATTTTATTTATTTTTATGTGGTGCTGAGGATCGAATCCAGGGCCTCGCATGTGCTAGGGGAGCGCTCTACCGCTGAGCCATAACCCTAGCCCCTAACTCTTTTTAAAGCAACTCCAATATCACAAAATCTCCCAGCTCAGAAATACCCCATATCTTTCATTTCCACTTATTTTCCAGCAATACAGAACAGGAAACATACAATCAGAAATCCTATTTTCCTTTTACTATCTCTTTTAAATCTTTATGTGGAGAAGCATTCTCTCTCTCTCTCTCTCTCTCTCTCTCTCTCTCTCTCTCTCTCTCTCTCTCTCTCTCTCTTTCTCTCTGTGTGTGTGTGTGTGTAAAATAGGTAATCTTCCATAAACTATGTTTATTTTTATAAATGCATTACACCACCATGTCCACCATTAAGAAAAAGAACCCTGGATCCTCTTCCTCAAGTGTTCAGATTTTCCTAGACTTAAAGAGAAAGCTTAACTTCCTCCTTTTGAACCCTCCACAGCTGTAATCTTGTTTGCCATTCCCTTTGTCTACCTTATTTTCGTAAATCCTTATTCTTAGCCTTTGATACCTCTTCTTTTCAGAGAACATATAAATTGTCAGACTATTTGGAAGGATCTCCTTCAACTAAATTTTCTTATTTCCATCTCCTCTTCTCCACACTCTTTTCCCCACCATTACCTCATGTTTAAAAGGGAGAGGATCTCAGGTGTTCTGAGTAGAGCCACTGTTCCTTTAATCTTGGCTGCACATTGGCATCACCTGAAGACACTAAGCAACACTAATGCCTGGATCCCATCCTGAGTGTGGACTGGGCACTCGGATGTTTAAAAGCTCCCTCAGGTGATATCGAATGTGTAGATAAGATTAAAAATGAACCCATTGTCCTCTTGAACTATCTCTTCCCTTTGCCCACAGATAGATTCTGTTTCTTACCAGATGTGAGTCTCTCAAAGGTAGTAACCATTTCCAATTTATTTTAAAATTTTTATGTTCTACATTCCTGGTGACAGAGTGGATTCTCAGATAATTTGCTAAATGAATAATGTACTCAAGTCAAGATGTATACAGTTCTGGGTTCTTTTGTGACACCAGTACCCTGAACCTACACTTCCAAATCCCTAGTCACTTTCAGAAAAGTTCAGTGTTTCCAGTGGTAAAGCTGTTGTAGTTTGCTTTTACTTGAAAGTTGTTCCTTTTTTGAGGTTCCTATATTGGCAACTTGAATCACATGCAAAAATCACCTAAGCCAGAAATCTAAGCTCCTTTTGATCATTTCCTACCTCCTGACAGTTTTTACCTCCAAAATGTTTCTTATCTTTGTTCTCTTCTTTAAAAAAAATTGAAATAATTTCAAACTAAAAAGCAAGAATGGTTCAAAAAATTCTGTAGACCCTTTGCCTAGAAACCACACTCAAGCCTTAGCCAATAGTTCCAGAGTTTATTTACAGCAGAAGCATCCAAGCTAAGAGCATGTGTTGTACCCATGTGACATGTTGCTCAATCCTCCTTCAATCTAGATCAAGTCTTCAGGCTCTTGGACATACTATCCCTCTTCCTCTGTTCTCCAGGGCTAACTTCTTAAGTTGATATATCAATGTCTCTTTTATTTTGTACTTTCAGTGAATTTTTTTTTATGTATCTGTAAATGATACTACTTATCTTCAAACTATGTAATGGGTATATAGATGTTTACTTTTTAATTAGGGATATAGTATTTTTGTTTTTGTCTGCTTTTGTTCTTTGTGGATTGATTTCTTTTGTGTCTCATAACTTTTAAACCATACCTTCTGTTTTACTCAGTTTTTAATAAGAAATGGATGACCAGTTTAAAAAGTAATATCTAAAAATAAGTAACATTGCTTTACACCAGCTACCAATCAGAAAATATAATAAAAGAAAATATTTCATTCCTAGCAGTATCAGGGAAGTAGATTTTCTAGGTGTATGCAATTATTTTGCACGACCTATATGGAGAAAATTATAATTCTCCATTGAGGGCCACCAAAGGAAACTTGACTAAATGGAGAAACCTTGTTTTTAGTTAGAAAACCTCATATTATAAAGATATTCACTCTATTTAAATTATTTTTTTAAATTTTTTGGCAACATAGCTTTTTTTTTTAACTCATTTTTAGTGACTTGTTTTAAAAATGTTTCTTCTGTCAGAGGTACCTAAAGGATATCACTGCCCAGTGAGCAATTTTGGTATGAAATTCTTTCTTGGCTTGGAAGTTCCAAGATCATTTAACTGTTATAGATTTAAACCCCAAATCAGTGGGAGTACACCATAATTATAAAATTTCAGGAAAGACCCTGTCCCTTTTCAGAGCTTGTTCTATGACAGAAAATCTTCCTTAGCATCATATGGTTTAAAAGTTATGAGACACAAAATAAATCAATCCACAAAGAATAGAAGCAGACAAACCAAAAATATTAGATCCCTAATTAAAAAGTAAACATCTATATACCCATTACAAAGTTTGAAAATAAATAGTATCATTTACAGATACATAAACATCATTCAGACATCTTCCCCATCAGCCATGGGGTAGGTTTTATCTGGTCTGCCCTTCTACTGAAGATACAGAACTTCATGATTTTTAATTTATGTGTATATATGAGGCTATGAAGTGGGGATGGGGACACTAATTGTTACCAATTCCTGATTGTAACAAAGGTCTAAGGTTTTTTCTCTATTTACTGTATGGATTTTTATAATACACTATATTTAAAATTGACATATATTTATTGTATACATGATATTTTGAAATATGTATATATGTATTGGAATTAATAAACTGGGATAATTAACATGCATTATCTCACATACTATTTTTATGGTAAAACACTTAAATCTGTTTTCTTAGTGATTTTCAGGAATACAATATATTGTTATTAACTGTAGTCACCATGTGGTACAATAAATCTTGGACTCATTTATCTAACTGAAATTTTGAATTCTTTGACCAATATCACCCAACCCCTATCTATTTCCCCCTTCCCCTGCCCCTTGTAACCACCATTCTATACTTTGCTTCTATTAGTTCAACTTATATATATAAGTTGAACTAATAATATATATATATATATATATATATTATTATATATATATATATTAAGTTGAACTTATATATATAAGAGGGATCATACGTAAGTGAGATAGATGGTATTTCTTTCTATTTCTGGCTTATTTCACAAATATAATGTCCTCCAGGTTCATCCATGATTTTGCAAATGACAGAATTTCTTTTTTTAAAGGGGTTGGGTTTGTGGCTCAGTGGTAGAGTGCTTGCCTCAAATTTGTGAGGTCCTGGGTTCCATCCTTAGCACCACATAAAAATAAATAAATAAAAAGGTATTGTGTTCAAATACAACTAAAAAATAAATATTAGAAAAAAAGACGAAGTAGCATTCCTTTGTGAATATAAATACTACATTGTCTTTATCCACTCATTACCACCTAGGTTTAAACATTCAGACCTCTTCCCCAACAGTCATTTCCCCACTCAAGATAGGGTCATGTTATGTACTTATGGCTGTGGTATCCATTTCCTTCTTTATTTCTGCTGCTTGGATATTTTCCTATCCTTTTTGCAAGCTCAAGTATGCAGTAATTTTTCCCCTACATTTTATTGGGCATGTATTTCT